TGATAACAAGTCGGGACTCTCGCGTTCTAGTTATTACTTTGAAGAGCTCTTTAAAAAACCCTTGGCATCATGAAGGAAAAAATGTGCGAGTTAGAAGTGTAATCACAAAGGTCAATTGAAAGCTGTCGTTCAGTAGTCATCATATATCGTTGAGAAAAACGACTGATGCGGAAATAGATAGATGCTTATAATAGAAAAACCAAAAATTGTGTGACTATTTAACTACTAAAGGGGAACGGATAATAAACATTCAGGGCAAACCAAAGGCTACAATAAATTTTTGGTAATAAACATACACTTCACAAACAGAGTTCCAAAGGTCTTAAACTACTTCTGTAGTACACCCTAGTAATTCTAACTAATACCTATGCTTCTTCACAATCTCTGGCTATATGTTGACGATGCGCCGTGTGGGCAAGACGCAGGATGAAACCAATTACGTACGCGCAAAATCTTTTCAGCACGTTTACATTTATATCGTATCGAACCCTTTTGCATTTGTAGAGGCACCATATGAAAATTCTAAGTCCTAAATAAAAAAAAAAAAAACTGGGAGCTTTCATCCAAACAGGTCGGTGTAGGATGAGGGTGCCGATTTTCTACTGTCAACTTAACGTATTCTTTTCAGAGACGAATTCCCCTTAAACTCAAACGGACTGTTGTTTCCGAAGACTGAATCGACTTATGATACTTAACAAAATATGAAGTTGGCGAACTCCGTTACCAACAGACATCTTCGAGCAGTAATGTGGTCCTAGCATTAGTTAATTATATGGACAACGTAGATAGTGTCATAGTTGAAGCACGGATGCACCGGAAAACAATCGTTACACGATGGTTGCACTGGCGCGAAGAAGCAGCTAGATAATCATCGATTATCGATTTTACTGGCATTCCCGCTCGTGGCTCGTCACTTGTAAGCTTATTTCAGATTACGGAATTTCTCGCATCCGAAACGGAAGCATAGGTGGTGCACGTTCGAATAGACAGACACACGCTCATATCCTAATACGTAATGCCTATTCACGTAAATAGCGCTTCTACAACGGTCTCACCTAATCACATCAATTACAGTTCTGTTACGGTTTGTTAAAGATGACAAACTGGGCCGGCAATTACCAAAGCCAAAGACCGTCCTATCCAAAAATCACTTAAATCTCAAACACTTATTCGTCACTTTTTCAGACCGTGAATTCCACCTCGCACGCTCACGCAAGACATAGTAATGCAAATCGCTAATGGGGCTTAACCTCGACGTGTCTTTTTGTCGTTCATCTAATACGATATGAATGTTTCGATACCTGGTTTAAAGCTACCATAAAGCTATTTTACCTATTGACTAGAATGGCCGTATCAAATGACCTATAATAAATATGTATTTCTTACTAGCCGCACACGCAATCAATGGTTTAGGTCTTTAGGCCATGCAAAATGGAGTACAATTCAAAAGTTTTGATTTCGCTATTGGCTCCCCCTCTCTATCTCCACAGGGGTGTAACTTCATTCACGATAGTGATAAAGAAAGGATAACGACAGTAGCGATAAAAACAACACATCGCCCTTTTTAGCCACTTTATAGTGATGACGTGTTCCGGTAACGTAACGGCCAGTCTCTAGCACGTTCGTTAGCATTCGACGCACACCGTAAAAGTTGATCTACAAAGAAATTCCCTACTTAAAGTGAAGTTAGCATTATCCTCAGTATAGGCAATTTCCGTATGAGCGACACACCCTATACATTGACCGCAGTTAAAGTGATTTTGATTATTATTTCATATTTGCGGGCCAGACACTAGAGCACGGGTACATTGTAGCGAACTTTCTAAATCGGTCTCAAACCCTTTTTACTATTAATCGAACACTAATAAAATCAACTGCACACATTTCGTATAGTCGTCACGAAGTACGCGGACGAATACCAACGATGATTTGATCAGCAAAGCACTGCTGTTTGGAAGTCATAGGTCGTCTTTCACGTACGTTAGACAGACCACAGTATTGTGCTTGGGAACCTTTTCTTAATTTATTTTAGGTGCTGCACTATTGTACGACAATTGCGTCGTCGATTGCTGCTAAGACAGGCTGTAGACCCTTCGAAATATTTATTATATTAAATATAATATAAAAAGTCAATAGTGATATCCTTTAGACTGATGTTAAAATGATCGTATTGTCAGAAAGGAAGCTTTCAATTGAAGTTTGATTTCTAAATGTTTAACATAATAATTTACGCTTTAATCAAGATTTAACATTGTTTCCAAGGCAAGACTGGATGACAGCGATCTTCCTCGGGACGCATTTCGGTTTCTCGCATTTCAATTTTGTAATTTCAATTGCACTGTCAATTGACATGAACTCCAAAACATTTAGCTTAGCATGAGCCAAATGTGGCGCGCATTTTCAAATCCACAATTTACGGAATTTTTGGGTTAGCTCCGGTACCTTGAATGGACTTGACGTAGTTGATAAATTCGAAACCACAGAACACTCTGGTTGTATTACTAATAATTTACAATCCTACTAAAGGATAATAACAGCTAGTTGGTTGGCTGGCTGGAAAAGCCGAGACGCGTTAGTTCGAATCCTGTGAAGCAACATTACTACGGTGCAGATGTGTTTGTAAAGAAACGTGCCGGACCAAGGCAATAAGTGAATGACGGTTACACGTATGTTGAATTCTAATTAATTCAGCGTACTAAGGTGGCCTTCCTTTACACGCTGCGCTTTGTATGTAAAAGATATCTATATTGCAGTCATCAATACGACCAGCCTATCTCTATCGATATTCATTATTATTGTATTCCACTAAATGCTGTCTCTTTACATATCTCGGTTGGGTTAGCAATCGACCATTTGATACTTTGGACTGGATGATAGAGCTTTCCCCTCCTTTCTTCAGCTGAAAGAACTACGAGATACACACAGACGATTATAATGATCACGTCGCCAACGACGATGACAAAGTGCTGGAAAAAAAAACAGGCCTCCCGTTTCTTCTTTCATCCATTGAAGCTATTCTATTTGCACGAACTGCTACGAGATTTTGCGCATATTTATTAATGCAGCCTCTCTCTTGCGAACGAAGTTCCTGGCAGCGCAGGACGGCATAGTCCTAACATACTACAGGCACACGTCTGTACCCAACCATCACGAGATCTGACCAGTTATCACCATTGTGATTACTATTGCTGTTGTTTATTGATACAGTAGCCATAATATTTATAGCATATTAGGAAGCTGATACGCTGAAATCAGGCCCCATAGCCGTTTTGGGCTAGAATCATGGAGACATTGGCAAAACGGCATTTTTTGTAGCCCCGTCAACTAGGAGCAAATTAGAAAATTATTACCATTTTGACATTAAAATATATACAAAAAAATCTGGTGAGTACTTATGAAAAAGATTTCCAGTATTATTTATTTTGCATAAGATGGAAAAACTGGACTCTCGATAAACGAATCGTATATATATATATATATATATATATATATATATATATGCAGACTGCAACATTTCAGTTGAAACGTTTCTTTTTTGGGACTGTACCTGTAATAAATAAAAATTGATGTTTCAACGAATTTGTTTACATGCGCTAGAAAATCCTAACAATTATCTTTATTCAAAGTATTTCCTTTTTAATCCGCAAATGACCTTCTAATAATAACCGTACATTAAATTATTCCGATAGTTATAATCCCGATAAATTGTCGCTTAGATACGCTATATACAAAAAATTGCAGCGAAATTAACAATCCAAGTAGTAATAGGCCAAAGGTCCTGAAAGTGCAAATTCGAAACAGCAAAAAATTCAAAAAAAATCTAAAGCACAGAAAGTCTCGAACAGGCTAATCGTTGTTTGTCTGTAGGACCCAATTGACAATCAATATTTTCCTCCCCAACACGGCACATCATTTGTGTCATCAAAGCTGGCTTCTAATCTAGTGTGATGAATAAACCTATCTTCTGATTTGACGTATAAATTTTACAGAAGCCGCGTGAAGACTGATCGTAATGTAGACGGTCGAATTTGGATAAAAAAGAAGTCTGTAATGTTATTGGAGGTTTGTCTAGCGTGAATAGATTAGATAATAGCTCATTTACACCCAGGATGCACCGAACGACACATTCTTTGCCTCTACAGTAACTTTGTTGTTCTTTTCCCTAGGAATGAGGTAGACTTCCTAAAAAAAACGCGTGCCCACACAACAGAGTGTCCACTAGCATACAATTTAGGTGCCGTACCTCCGTATAGGTATAGATAATACGGTTTATCATATCTCTAACACGTCTTCACATACATTACGACTATGATTTATGATGGTTATTGCCTGGAAACATTATACTGATAAATGAGAAATTTTTGACTAAAAATCTAAACCGCCTGCACGTATACCATATTGCCGGTGCTGCATTCTATAAAGTCATATTATTATTATTAGTTATTCTATAGAGGAAAAATTCTAGCTTCGGAAAAGCATTGCTATTGTACTATAACGTTCTTAAAATAAAAAGTATTGAAAAAAAAGAAGAAGGCATTTTCTATGAAGAAGATCTATCTACAGACCAGTGACAGTACGGCAGCGAGCTAATGTATCTCCTGCTAAAAAAATGAGTTCGATCAAAGGGACACCACACGCTCTGGCCTATCAACAACTATAGAGCAAGACTAATTCGTACTAGGCAACTTTTTTTGCTAACGAATTTACCTTCCTGAAGTAATTCTTATGAAATGTAATAATTTGCCTAGATATATTATATTCGCTGGTCGATTTGACTCTGATAAGCTGGAGGAGCGCCTTCTCTTTTTTCGCCCCCAGTGTCTCTTTACAAAATTCATTTATGCTCAAGCTCCAATCGTTTGAGTCGATGTTCTTCAATTCTAAGATTCATTGATTGCACATTTTTTCTCATAATGATCATAAACGATATTAATACGAATACAAATGAGACCAACATCATAATCGACCAAATCGAATACAAATACGAGATCAACACTTACGGGCTTCTTTCACCATGGCTTGCTTCGAAGGCTCGGCATTACGCGGCACGCAACAAGACCATACGACGCCGCCATTGCAGAGATCCACGGGTCGCTTGCCCTGCATCCAGCACGATACGCCGAAACCACAGCCGTAGGAATTGCCCCGAAAGAAACACTTCTGAGGAAACGCTGTAATCAAACATTTTGAGAAAACGCTTATATATCACTTTCATTAATGTCCGTACATGTATGCATTTACATGGGATATTTGTAATTGACGTACGCTATCCGCAGCACCATACCGGAATCATTCGAAAAGCTTCCGTTTAGGCTTTTATATATACAAGCGTTACACTGCATTTCGTGGAAATGAATTAGCTATACATGTACATACATGTACAATCAGCACTGATACCTTTGGGCCTAACAGACGCTGATTCCCAACACACTGCATTAGTGCCATTTTAATTAAAACATTAATGATAACATAAATCATAGAAAGCAATCTGAAACCGGGAAAGCTATCGTATACGAGAATAAATATCGCCAATATAATCAAAGGGTCATTTAAGTAGATTAAGAGTGGCACAATATAAGACAAGAAAAAAACTCTGCAGCACTAGGCGTAGACTTTCTAGCGCATCAAAATTCAGCAGATTCTGCAATGTAGGGGCGTATACGCTCGCACATCAGAAACACCTCGTTGACTTGATTTTTTCCTCGTCTGATCCCATGTTGAAGAACGACCCCGTACTGTTGAAAAATTCTAATTATTTCCGAATACTTTTGGAACGGGTCTGTACTCTGTGGCCTGTAGAATGAGAAGACGAAGCCTATAGAGATGTTCGAAGAAGCAAATAGCAGTCCATTTGGGAAGCTTATATCGATTTTCTGTATAGCTTCAATATCATCATTTAGCTTCTTATGCAAATCTATCTCGTGCTAAAAATACAAGACATTTAAATGGTTTCAAATCGCTGAATCTATGCGCGCGTTAAACACTAAAGCCACTCCGCTACAGCAGCTGCTTGATTACCTTAACTATTGGGAGCTGTGTTACACCTGGCGAGATCAGCCAAAGCAGCGGTTATATTCAGCACTCGAGAAACATTTACAAAAATGTTACCAGGCAGAAGATCGAAAAACGAGCACCATTCATACACCAATCGAAATTTGATCGCGCGAAACCTGTGATAGATAAATCACATCACTGGAAAAATATATTGTGCCAGTGTTGATTAATCTTCGTTGACATCGTCACTTGTCATTGTCATTGTTGATGATGGCAAAACGATGTCTGAGGATTAATTGTATTCTTTTGTTTGTATCGAAATTCTTATTTAAGACTTTGTGCGATAATTCAGACGGTCGCGTTTGGTTCCGCCCGAAGAAAATGACGACCAGTTCTTGCCTCTATTGCATAAGGCAAGGAAATAAGGTTGAAAGCAAGACACTGTCCTTAATAAAATCAGGATCGGCAATGAAACTGTTTGGGTGATGCGTGCAAATCAGATGTGTACTATGCAATGAGAATGATGATAACAATTTGTCAAACCGTCAACGATTTAGGCCAGCTGTTTATTACCGATATTTCCACTATCCGCTACTTTATCCGCTACTTTTTTGTCAAGCATTGCTAGGTTACCATGAGCCTCAGATCGTATATTCATATCGCTAACTATACAAGCATATAATATTTTGGGGCAAGCTCCTCACTACATAAATAGCCTTAACGGTAAACGAAAAGCTTGTAGGGCTGCATGCGTTACAGTGTCTAACAGTTAAATATGTCCAATAAATATGAGTTCACAGCCGGCCAGTGTTCATATACTAAGACAATGGGATACGGCCCCTACAACTTAGCGCCTCATTTCCCGCACGAGCACCCAGAATTACTTGAGCATGGTATCAAAGGCTACTTCGATTCACGCTCGAGAAAATTTAAAGCTTAGAAAATCAAAACGTTAAACGTTTCTTGAAGATCTGTTTAATGAATCTAAAAGCTTAGAAAAAATATCGTTTTAAGCTTAGGTACTCCTGAAACCCCTATCCAACTTTAAGGCGGAAGATCGAAGATATACGCGCAATTTGTCCTAGCCTGTCCAAAACTATTAATTATAAATTTTCCCTCAGCGTAGCTAAAGATGAAATGTGTGCATTCGAATTCAAGGATCTTTTAACCCGATCCTTCTGTAACAAATCTTTTCCCTGTTCGCCGACATAGGATACATCATACGTAAATTCCTAGCTGTTCCATTCGACATTAAACGTTGATAAATGTCGACATTGCCAGCTTTCCGCTGCCGAACTTAACCACTGTTGCGCTTTATCTGGGTACTTCAAAAGATATACTACAGATATAGGCTCCTACCTAAAAAGGAAGGCCGTGTTGTATTCTACTGTGCAGATGAGCTTAATCATAATCTTACAAATCTATACCAAATAAAAGAGTTAACTCTGCTAGCACTCAGAGCTCCCGTCATTGCCAGCAAGCACACGCACGCACATTGCCTGCATCGAAATGTAAAATTAAGCACGGTATTGTACAAAAGGCTGAGCCAGCCGATAAGAACTGCCTGATATCTATACGTAGAATAAAACTGGTAAAATTTTTCATCGCAGGCGATGAATCTATCAGGTGTGGCACATATCCTGTGGCCGTGTGGTGGCACCATTGGTCTCGCGTGTGGTCATTCCGGCGATCCCTTCGTTTCTCATGCCGTGAACGACGACAATGGCATTGCCGTTGCTAATGTATTAGAAGGTAATGGCGACGATGACGACGACGACTGTCGTTACCTGCCATCAGCTGTGGTGTGAAACAGTGGTACAGCAATGGCGAATTGGGGTTGCATCCATCGAAACTTGGCGAACTTTTCCTGCTCCCTCTGCTACTTCTAAATATAGACTATATATATATATAAGTTGGATTAGTTTCTGGTTGCCAATAATCACTGCCCGACGGCACAAACCTGATCATTACTAACTTTCTATATAACGGGGTATGTAGCGACAGACGATTGGTAACTAGCGAAAATGATTGCTATCCCTACGATCTAGCGATTGGCCTTAAAGTAATGGTGTATATGAATACACATACGCACAATGACATTCAGAAGTTGTCGGCTACATTTCTTGCCGTGAACGCGCGCCTACTATATACGTCTATTAGATGATGATAGAAGAGTAATTGAAATTTTAACAGAAGAAGTTGCGTATCGTAAGAAATTTCTCCCAAAATAGGGAAAAAAAAACAACAATTTCATATTTCTAAATGGAATTCCCTTCAAGGTAATCAATTAAGACAAATCTGTTTTGAAAAACGTCAATGATGCAAACTTCAATCTGATCAAACTCTCATGTGTGAGAGTCAAACAAACATGAGACAGTCTACATGCACACCGGTTTTATGGCACAAAGATTAAGTTCAGTATTTACATTATTGCACGACAAATCGCGAACGTTAAAGCTTTAACAGCAACAAAACTGTGTGCATCAGTCACTATGTGCAAAGTATCAGCTATTGACCATTATTATCTACCGCCGAAACAGCACTTGTCGTTATTTGTTGTTAGGTAACTTCGTCACATGCAGCAAGCTACCTAGCTGACTGGAAGAACAACAACGGCGACGCCTGCGATTTGTGCGTATCCTCTTGCTATGTACGGAGAATCGTTTATTGTAAGCTATGGCTAAGTAAGGAGAAAATACGCAAGCAGTACTGGATGCGATATAGAAACGATAATTGCTACTTTCGCTGCAGCAGTCATCTGTCACCAGTACCAGAAGCAACAGGCGGTCAGACAGAACCCCTCGCTGCTTTATCTCTTTCTTCAGAAGCGGCGCACCCCGATATGGAAAACAAACATGGGGTCAATGTCGAAATAGCAACAAAAAGAAAAAAAAAAAGACAAACCATTTATGTTCGTATAGCACTGCTATTGCCTTACCGTACGACACCGAAAACTAATCGATGACTCCAGCAGTGAAATGACGGATCACTCGAAAACTTAATCTGTCATTGGAACTCTAGCCAATACGCTATGAAACGACCGCGGAACGGCGTAAGACTACGATACAGAATAGCCTAAAGAAATGTATTCCTCCGAACACTGCGGTTAAAGTGGTGTTAGATCGAAGTGTGTCTGAACCTGAAGATTTGAAGCGAGAAAGTTAACTAACTAAAAGGACATAAAATCAATAGAATGGACAAAAATTAAACGCTCGTTAAGTAGCGGCTAAAGTTTGTGGTTTACATCAGCCATGGGCCAACCAGTTACGGCTGTAAATCTGAGCTTCTCGTTGAAAGGTAATACGTCCGCGTAATTTGTGAGGTAACCCTATTCAATCAAAGCACTTGCGAGATAAAAGAGCACACTAACCATTCAGTTGAATCAAATTGTCGAAGCGTTCCAGACCTTTTTACTCGGTCGCTTATGAACTCCAAGACAGAAGATCCGGTACTTTGACTACGAATCAATTTATTATCCATTTTAGTTTTTTCTTTCTCGCTAAATATTGCCAGACCGTAGCCGGATTGACGGCCCTACTATTAGAGGTGGGTCGAGCGTTTCACTAGTGGTCTTGCTAACGACCAACATTGGCGTTTGCGTTGTGCCCAAGACATTATTCAACGTTCTGATCCATTCAGCCTTATGGCGGGCTGCACTGATCGTCAAGACAGCTGGTGCTCATCAAGCTGCGGGTCCGCAACCCACGGTTCGCCTAGCGCCATCTACACATCGCTTAAATTAGCGCTAATTGTGCGTCTTTGAATAAGATTAATTGCCACGAACGATACGAGCACTATCAATGCCAGATGTAGTTACAATAACATCAACATGATCGACAACAACGCTAACACTGCAACGTAAATATGATACAATCGAATCGAAAACAGTAGAAGTAGGTGAACTAGAAAGCTAAATGTAAGCCTTGTTCCTTCCAGGGGTCGCTGCTGCTGCTGCTGCTCTTGCAATATATCCTAATCAAAAACATCACTTCTCCTGGATGCGCATCTGGGTGAAATGGGGAGTTCGCGCAGGCGGCGCCACAATCGTGACGATTTTGAGAGCCACTTACCTCTAGATATTGTTACAGTTGAATTTACACCAGCAAGAACGTCACACCATGAGCAGCAGCAGCAGCAGCAGTATATGTACAACATCGCTATATATAGCACAAGAAACTATCGTTCCATAACGGCGGCTTTCCTCTTCGCGCCGTTCGTAAAGGACGGAGGGGCCCTTCATACTCATTATGCACAGACAGACTGCAGCGAATGGACGAAGACGGAGTCAAAAGTCCAAAACCCAATACATTCGAAAGCGCCACGAGGTAGCCACCATAGAGCCGGCATTCAACAGCCAATGCTCCGCAGTACCCTCGCTTGACGTAACACACAGAGAACCGCAACGCACTACAACACAGCGACATCGCCAGAAGATCCGAAAAACCCACCAGAAGCGTCGACAGCAGCAAAAAAATCGGCGACACCTTACTAATAACAAAGCGAACTGTGCAAACCCGGAAGACTGCCGCCGTCTATCGCAACGGTTTTCGTAATTTTTTTATTGTTAAATAGCCATAGAAAGGTAAAAACACAGTCGCACAGCTTCCGTGTATACAAGGGGACACAAATGCGGGCGCTCGGGGCTCATCAGTATGAATAGAAGAAGGGTGCTGTTGGGAAAAAGGGAGTGGGATGAAACTTTCATCTCGTAATTGTCCGGATGCGCCTGTTTTCAGTCCTGGCTTAAAAATTTCCAACAATATCATCAAAATGAAGCGGCTTTTCACTGCACGTCGTCTGACTGGTGTCTGTTAGTGAATGAGAAATTGTAATGATGATAACGCTTGCAATTATGAAGGAACTCCATATGTGTTATGCATGAGGACCCTATTCGACTCGGAATGTACTAAATTCATCGTCGCACTGGTCTGGATGTATAGTACTGTATATTTCTCTCATGCTATTTATTTTATCAGCTATTTGACAGCAAAACCATTAGATTCTGAATCCAGAGGCATGATTGATCCATTCAGATGATAGACGTGTTTCAAAACTAACTTGTTTGTTTAGATAACAAAGTTGACCTGTAATCCCAACGATGCAAGGTAGCCGCTATACTAAATGCGTGTTTTAAAGCATCTTTTCTCTATTAGGATACTCAGAAAGATCAAAAAAACAACCTAGATTGATCGCTATCTCATTGAAATGCGCGTCATGCAAGAAAACTAAGCGCGTTTCATGATTAGGCTTTGAAATGTCAATCATAAAATACTTTCCTCCTTTTTTTCTTACTGTTTCCATGCTGATTAAGCGTAACAGTAGCTTTCGTGGTAGACATGTCGGTGAAAAATTTAGGTATATTAACTACCCCGGAAATAGGTCGTAACAAAAACCACTCGAGTCTAATTATATCTGAGCTATTATCCGACGATGACAGAAATGAGCGAAATAGGCTCGAGCGTCCCTCAGAAGGCTTGCGTATCGAGCGCGTAGCATTGTAGAAATCACAGCATGTATTCAGTATGATCCCGTCATAACATTAGTTCAGGCACGCGCCCGGACTATAGTGACAGGTTTTCTTCGTGTACTACATTGCCGGCTTCATTGGTCTGATATCCATTATATATATAATAATATTATCATTGCTTTGCGCTTGCAGCCTCACACTTGTGCGAGGATTTCACTCGAATGGAATCGTTTTCACCGTCGTCATGTCCCACGCGAGTACGCGAGCACCCCAAAAACCTCGATGTGTCATGCATATCTAGTAGCCACTCGAAGAGAACGATTACGAGCCAACACCGGAACAGACCTTACAGGAAATAACGACGCTCGTGTTCATCCCAGTCACAAGATGAGTGCGGACGCTATACTGAAATATGATAAATTCTCTCCTCGTATAGGATCAGATACCACTATATCAATCGTCCAACTTGAGAAGGCCGCAAAACGAGAAAAACTACTGACCCGGGCATAATAACATTCAGCTAAAAAACCAACATGCGATGTAACGGTACGCCCCCGGGGGTTTTTTGATTTAATTTCCATATCCGTAGCCAGCACAGACGCATTCCAAGTGTTATGTTTTAAAAGAAAAACTAGGGACTAATTACGACAAGCGGAAATCGATAGGATCTTTGCGTGGATAAACATACGTCTAATAGTTTATCATATATCGGTAAGATGAATTTTCTTTTGAACACTAATTTCATAAAACTCTGCGTTAAAATGGCCATCGCAATGAATTTTACCTTCCTTTTAAGCTTCATCGGCATTCGACAGGAGCTGTAACCAGGAAAATTTAAGTAGGAAGCTCATTTTTTTGTTTTTTCAAGTCCACTTGCTAACAAAAGCCAATCAATCAATCAATCAATCAACCAACAGTGTATGTTAACACTGTCAGACAACAATAGATAAATTTAATTGCTTCAAAAACGGCATAAGCATCATAAACTAATATATAACTTGGCATTTCAGTTAACATACTGCTTCATACAAAATAACTGTATCGTGCTCAGAGCATACCTTTGTCTCTACCGTACGCGATATATCTTCAATTTTAACTTTTATGGTATAAATCTATCAGGCTTGCATCTTACGCTGCCCGGCTTAGCTCTAGACTCGGGACATTGTCTCTCTCATTCGTTGTTGTCTCACCGAAAATCACTTTGTATAATAAGCTCACCTTATATTTGCATATGTAAGTACACTGTCAGACGTGGCCGTATATGGACCAGCTAGATGTGTCCCGGCCCTCCTATATATTATAGGTTTAAATTGGTATATTTAATACAATAGTCTCCGTTCTCACTGAAACTCTTATCCTTACCTCGCCCCGTTTCGTCTATCCGGTCATGATACTAATACTTTGCGGTTATAGGCTGATGTAGTACCGCTGTCGTATTCGTTGGGATACTGGTGGCACTGAGCTGCCAAATGTGGGTTGGTTGATCCACATAGAAAAGCGTATTAGCTTCTATTCGCGGCGGTAGAGTTCTGCTTACCCACACTGCTGCGACTTCTGCGAAGCTAGATGTTTTGGGTTTTATCTCCGATGCCGCCGCTAGGCATTCCATCAGATAGTTGGCTTCCAGCACGAAACGAAGTCTGTCTGTCTGTCTATGGCTGGGTTCGAACCTAGCCCACCACGTGTTCCTCAAATTTGGGAGTTGAACACGCTACCTACTGCGCCATCACGAAGACCCGTGCGATTTTCACTACTAGGAATCATGACTTCATTATAAATAAGAAAATTTTATGAGCTAGCGATTCTAATATATGATCGCATCGTACGCTGGTCCACAACAAAGAACCTTCTCTCGATGCTGTGTGATCGTACCTACGATGATCCAGCATCGAGACCCAAACGCAAGCTACCAGCAAGCGGTCGTCGTTCGTGCAAGAGGCTGTCTGCCTACAACCCTGAACAAATCCGTTAGTTTCCAGCTTTCAATACCAGCAGCAGCAGCATTCGTCGTTAGAACAGAAATTATGCTCGTATATATATATAGCAATAATTGAAGCTGAATCGTGAGATCCTTCGTTAACGTTCGAACGGAGCCTTCTGCATTGAAAAGCTAACACAGCCCAGCAAAAAGCTAAAAGAACACACGAATATATGCGATGGATTCATTGTTTTATATCTGTAGGAGAAGAGTATGAATGCTTCTATAGGGCGAAAGAATATACCTCTCGCAGCAATAACCGACGACAAAAAAACTATGAGATATACATTAAACGCAGTCGAATGTCTTAATTCGTTACTATTAACACATGCTATAGAGAACGATGATGAAATGGCAATAACTTACAGAGAATATATCTGGCAACGTTGATGATATTAGTGAGAGTTTGTAAGTCGACAGCTTGATGAGGGTTGACGGTGCTGTTGCGCGGTAGAATCAGCGCACTATTACGATTCAGAACGGACGACGGCCACTGAAAATCCGGACTGGGAGCTAGAACGAATATATATATGCGCAACAAGTAGCCGTTAGACGAAAAATTCAACTAATTTTTGTTATTTCTACCATGATAAAAAGTCTTCGCAAGTAAGTGGCGTGTTGGAGCAAATCGTAAGAAGGCACCTAAATCTCATGATAATTAACAAGGTATTTACTAAACAAATTGCTTTAGCAACCTGTTTCGGCAATAGTCAATTAAAAAATGCGTTTTCGTATAGAAACTAGGCCATAGTTAAGGAGCTAGTTATATAATATTACCCTAGTTAAACAAGTAGACCCTTCGATATAATTAAAACAGTCGTGATAGCTATGAGATCTGTAAAATTTCCTCACAGAAAAACTAAAAGAATAAGGGTAGGTAAAATAATTCATTAAACTTCGATAAAGATTTACGCCGATTGATCTGTACCTACTACTAAACTGACGGAGTTGCCGTCTGTGAACATACGTCTTAAGATCTACTGTATTATACAGTCGTTCAATCAGATCGTTGTTACTAATTTTTTCTGTAAGAATACTTAAATACACTACATCCTAAATTATTATACCAATTAAGCGTTACACCGCTATTGTGATTGCCAGCTTGAAGAGTAAAAAGTTGGGATTTTTTTTACTCACAATAATACGAAAGTACGACGAAAAGTTGCCGTCATAGTTTTTCAGGATGATCATATAAGCTTGAAAAAAAAAACAATTTGTAAAGTGAAGTTATTCGCCACTAAATTCGAGTTTCGAAAACGAGACCTTTAAGATTTGTCATTAACTTGCAATAAAAGTTACTGCATCCCAAACTTACTAACCAGTCATGTGTCGTCTATTAGCAAGGTAGTCCGGATGTGGTATGACAAGGTCTGCTGCCCAAGGTGGACCAAAGTTGTGTCCACCGCGCGATTGTGCGTTCGGCAGTATGCTCTCTTCGTAATACTGGCCTAACGATCCCCGCGGAAACGTTATCAACGATAACAGCAGCAGTAACCATCGCACAGGAGGGATCTTCGACCAGTTGAACGCTATATTACTTAGATTATTACTGCTATGCCTACAATCTTCGGCTAGTACAAGATTCCCTGTGTTAGAACAGCGATCATTAGAGAACGCGCAACACGACGTCACACTATCAGGAAAAGATGAAGAGATTCTCGCTGACGGGCTAATGATGTCATACCGTGACGAAGCTCTAGGGGTACGCTGGGTGCGCGCGGGGACAGTTAAAGGAGAAGGCCGCAAGCAGAACAGGGGGCATTCAGGACAAAAACACATCGTCACGGGAGACGATCACAAACAACACCTTCGACGAGAACACGACGAGATGATGAGCACAAACGGACGACGAAAAACACACGCAACACTTCCTGCAAAGAAAGTGGAAACAGAAACTGTGAGAAATCCGTGAGCAACTAGCATTGGTAAGATAGAAAATGTACTTGAGCAGAACAGAATAAAAGCAACTCTTATACGAAATTAAGTAAAAAATTAGTAGTACGAGATTAACGCTCGACAGACCGCTGCCGTGTGCCTCGCAGGCGTGAAAACACTTAGATTTGCCAAGGCCAAGGATTCGTACACATTGATCTAAAACGTAAAGATCGAAGCTTACAGATTTATAAATATGCACGTGAAGGTTTGGCTATTAGAAAGCATCTTCAAATACCATTTGCTTGAACGTATCCACTTAGACATTGCGTCGTTGCATTTACTCCTGCTTAAAATGCTCACAGAGAAACTGTGTGTGTTCCTAAACGTTTCGTCAAAGACAGTGAATAGCATTTTAAGGTTTAATCGTGTTTTTAATATCCTCTGCTACATACAGATGTTTGTACAAATGTTACGAAAATCACTCGAATACGTTAACGTACGTTTCAGCTAATGGCCCCCTTGGCAATAGTGCTTGTATTACTATCAATATTTGTAACTGATTTTATGCGTTTGTGCTGTGATATAAATACATGTATTGGTGATCAAGCTTGTCCTGCTGGCAGCGAGAAATAAACTCAGAGAAAAATGGCGGAGTCACACACTTGAGGTCCCAGGTTCGACACCAGCTCCTATCCAATATTGGTTTAGGGAAAGCGTCAGTAGGCAACATCAATGAAACCTTTTAGGCGTGATATAAGTATAGAAAAGATTAAGACAAGCGAACGCTAGATTTAAAAAAAACATTTCTTGCTATAAACTTTCTTGAATAGGTGGCCTTTTATCGCCTCTAGAGACAACCCTACTTAGCAAAGGACTCGCACATTACAGTTATTAGCACACTGCCAATTTATGGGCGGTTGAAGGTAGTCATACAGATTGCATTAGCTACTGTGGTTTTATGCCTAGAATGTTCAATTTTTTTTTTTTCCACTTCTCTAACAGCCAACGCTGATACTTACTAAAAAAACTCATACGAATAATGAAAGTAATAACAATTTTTGAAGCTACTGCGCATTTCCTTGAGTGGCATGCCACGCTTACTATAACTAACGAGCATACTATAAGCACAGGTAAACCCTAGCGTTAGTAAGAATTACCACCAAATATTAATAACCAGAAAGAAGGAATTGAGGAAAATAAGGTTTTATTATTTAGGTTAATAGTGGCTTGTGTAGCTTGCTGGCTCGTTTTATAGGTGTGCTGCAAGAGTTCTACAAAAACCCCTCGCTTAGACTCTTAAGGAGAAGCATGTCCTTATTGTTATACCTAAGAATGAATGATTTCGAGAATTTGTTTACGTACGGATAATAACTGTAAGTGCTGAATAAATAGAACAAAACGTAATTATTGACGGGAAATTAAATCAAAAAGGTCGACACCAAAGACGACAAGTCGAGAATAGTCTTCGTTGTGTTACAATATCTAACACCGAATAAGTTAACGCACGTGTAGCCGTTCCTATCTCGTGAAACGACATCTATGGAGCAATAAAAACAGTTATTATTTCGCATGTTTGTTCGCAAGGAATCGTGATTCCGTAAGAGGTGTCGTAAAAAAGACAGGCGTGAAGAAACTTTGATCGTAAGCCCCGCCGTTCTCCTTCCAGTACCGTACGCATGGCAACGTGAGAATAAATCACCTGTTTTACGGTAGGGCTTTCTCTGGCCAAACTCCCTTGGCTCCCTCTGACGCCGAAAGAAGCAGCTATGTCAGCGCGCTGCAACATTGCACATAACTGTCGATCGTTGAAAAGTAGCTCAAGTAGTACACGATTTACTTTACATAAAACCTACAATACTGCTTATTCTGAACTAGAACTTGCTTTGGCTGTATCAATTGCAAATGGGCTAGTGATCATAAAATGCAACAATTGGATCTGACACCTCGATTGCTTCTCTTGTGAGAGCTCATTTTTCGGATATTGAAGTCAGACTTCGATTTTTGCTAGTACCGAACCTGCCTGTACAATCATCAATGACAATACTAAGTAAATATTAGAAACTACTCGATATGTTAAATAATGTAACCAATTTTAAAAAGGGTTGTTTTTAAAGTTTGGAACTGACCCGAGTGGAGATACCCATGATGATCTAAAGGGACGAAAGCAACATCAGGGTATCCTGGTGATACTTTCCGAAAAAAGGATACAGCCAATTTTAACTTAGTTCTATTATTTACTTCTTTTAATGGACTAGATATTTACAGTGGCGCGCGACAGAGATTATCTCTTTACGCCTAAATCGAGCGCTGTGCTTTCTAGAAAATCGTTTACAATACTTTCAACTTAGTCGATTCTCATTAGTTGTTTCATAAATAAGGAAAAAGTCAAGAAAAAAGCTTGACCTGAAGATATCTACACGCATTTTATGGCTATATACGTATTTTATACTGACGACCGCCTAGCTCTGTCCAACAATATTTGCAGCTAAGTGTATCAGTTTAAAGGGGTGGTAATATTGCTGACAACGCCATTGTTCAATGGATGATGGTACCTTTTTATTGCGTATTAATTTTTATTCTGTTTGTTTTCGGTTTATTTGTTTCTTGAATGGAACAAATACATTTGGTTGTCCCTTGGTGCCGACAAGCCACATTTGTTCGACCACGCAAACGGGCAACGGCGTTCGCCAATTCATTGTTCTTCGTTCATTCCCTCTTATTTTTGCGAACGTATTCGCTTATCATCACCATTTTTGCTGCTCAGTCGATCTTTCGTTCGGCTGACTGGAAACTGCCGTCGTCCGTTGCTACAAAACAGTAATAATAGTAGCAGTAAACCGATAAGCGGAAAGGTAAAAAGATACGAGAGGAAGAAAAGGCACGCGGTCCTTTTTCCATTTCACACTACCACAAGCATCATCCACATATTTCTTCGTATGCTCTTCACGCTCTTTCGTTCTTCACCCAGTCTAACGGGAATCGCTGTGGCCTATCTTCTGTTCCGCCTGCCGTCTGATCGTTCTCAGTTCTTGTCGTCCTCCACGTGCGCTGTTCCCCTTCGTCTTGTTGTTGCAGTTGTAGTAATTGTAATGGCAGTAGCCGCCGTTCTATTGCGTGCCCTATTCCACCACGTCGGCATCATATCAATATCCGGGGTCGCCAGCAGGGTGAAATAGACGGTCATAGCACAGACCTACATAGATCCCAAAGCTACGAAACTTGGAAGCTTTGGAACAAAAAAGAAGTTTTGTCCGTCCATCGTTTTGCCCGCTGTTCCTGCTCATATGGCTTTATTTTGTCACAAGGACAAGGCGGCTGGCTCTATGCGAATGGTTGGCTTTTGAACGCAGCCTCAACAAAAGGCCTAGGCACATGAGTACCTCAGAAACAGATCTCAGTCTACCTGCTCTCGTGAGGAGGACCGATCTTCGTGTTTGTCGAAACGCAGTCAGCTCGAGAAACCAATGCCAAAATGCTATGAACATGAATAAAATTAAATAACTAAAAGCCTGCGAGATAAGTGCTTGTAGAATTTATAAACATTCTAATGTTTGTAGTCTAGTTCTAATGAGTAGGAATGGTCCTGTGGAGACGGCTATTGAGGGGAAACGCGTTCGATTACGGAAGAAGGGGGTAGTCGGTGTTAACGGAAGAAGGGATCTTTCGAATAGAATAATACGGTCGTATTACGAACAACAACAACAACAACAACAACAACAACAACAACAACAACAACAACAACAACAACAACAACAACAAGTGACGTGTTCAGATTTAGTGAAATGTTCAAAAGTGATTGTGGTAGCAGCGCTCCATTGCATGCTACGAGTGTTGTTGTGCCGGCCCCAATATAACGCGAACGACGACGCAGATCGGAACGCAATCCAGCTGAATGTGTAATGTCTATTGGTAATCGTATTCGAGTAGAACGTATAGTGATGGCGTCAACTGAAATTTTTCAGTGACGCCAATAGCAGAGTGGATCAACAGTAGTGGCCACAACGGCTACAGCAGCCGTAACCAAAGGGGACGAAAAACTCGTTAGGGCTAATCACGCCGACGAGATGTCCAACGTGCTGCCGCTTCCCCTATCAGAGTTTAACAATAACAATAATGATGATTAAAAAACTCAGAGTAAGCCACTGTATTCAGCGCATGCGCTGTAGTGGACGTTCACGTGTGTGTGTGTGTGTGTGTGTGTCTGTCTGCGTTTACAAACGAAGCGGCAGAAAATCACGGAAGAATAAACGGCATCGAGACAAAATAGCGTGAGATAAGGATTTACTATAATAATAATAATCAGAGTATTACTGTTGGCTGTTAATGGTTAAGATGTTAGAAGAAATATATCTATATGTGTAGCTATATATACTGACATTTATCACATATTGAAGAACACGAATGCTGTTTTTGCGTGTCACTTGAGAACGTTTTTTACTTTATTATTTCATCACTATCTTTGGTTTGTTGGCCATCATTACAAGGGTCTTTGGTGGTAATCTACTGGTGGAAAAATTGTGGTTCAAGTACGTTTCGCCACGGTATTGATAATAGTCCAAGCGAATACACAAACCAATACATAGAGACAGAGTGTAAACGTACTCAACAGTTGTCATTATTTTCAGATTAAGCTCACAAGATTGGATTCTCAATCTAGGGTGGCATATTTTTTTTATCTATGCAAATCAAAACATTAACACTTATGAAAACACGAGCAGGTGCCCCGGGGAATCTACCACGTCCAATTTCGGGTCGTGACTGCATGAAAATTCTTATTTCCTACCGAACGAAAGATATCCTAGTGGCGCACTTCCATATTCTTAGATGGTTCTAACTGAACTTGAAGTACTGTAGCATGGCCACGAAGGCCATTCCGTTCCGAACTGAAACATGCATTGACTTTAACAAGCCTATCAGCGTAAATTCAGCGGTAAAAAAGCATCCATCTGGATGAATAACGTTAGGTTAACCACTGTCATTCAGCTGCATCCATCTA